ACATTCCGTGGAAGCAAAGGGAATCTACTTTTGTAGTCAGTCAGCGTTATATTGAAGTTCATAGCAGCGTTCCCTAAAAAAACGCACTCACCGCGATAACTAGCTGGCAAACATTTACTAGCAACACCACAGCATCAGTTACCGTTAACTACCCGCTCTCGTACCGTTTTCGGCGGCCGCCTCGCCCTTCAGCGCCAGTGTAATCTTCTCATTGCGCTGCACCACGCGGTCAAACGCCTGCAGGATCTTGGCGACGGCGCGCTTGGAGACCTGGACACGTCTGGCCAACTTTTCATCCAGCTCCTGCTTGTCCCACGTGGACAGCTGCGTCAGGAACGAGGTGGTCGCCTCGCTCTCATCTGCGCACGGTGGAGCAGACGGACCGATCAGCATTCAGTGAGTGGGCGGCAAGACAGGAAAGAAAAGAGCAGCATGTCAACATGTCAACATGTCAACGCCATGTTGTGGGATATCTGTGGTTCTTTTACATTACAATCGATGTTTTAATGTGAACGATGAGACCTGGTGCCACTGACGGCAATACTATTATATACGTTTGTTTATAAGAGCTTTAGGGCACATTGACTACAAAGGTCATTTTGCGCCCCACTACCGTACACGCTATAGTTCGTTTTTCTTAAGTTCGACCCTCACTGTAATCGTCTCTTTGAACATAGCACGAGAATTGCTAGCTGAATTACTTAGAAAACTGGCTGGCGCACATTGATTTCACAGACGATGAATTTTACTCAAAATTATTTCTTCCTGGCTCTTATTTCCCAGACTCCTAGCTCGTAGTCGCCTTTATATACAACCCCACAGAGATAGACATCTTGTCAGAAATTATAACTGAACTCATCAATAGATCGTACGGCGTTTAACAGACCGGTATGTCATCGGTTTTTAAAACTTATTTGGAAAATATTATTCATGTCTGCAGTACAATGTGCGCTAGCCAGTTTTCTTAGTAATTCAGCTAGCAATTCTCGTGCTATGTTCAAAAAGATATTTACAGTGAGGGTCGAACTTAGAAAAAACGAACTATAGCTCCTTTTGAGTTTCAACACTGCCCAGTCGCGCCCCATCGACTGACTTTTGCTCTCGAATTCGTCGCTAGTCTCGGCGTCGAAGCGCTGCAGCAGCACGCGCATGTCCTCATTGAGCTGGTTCCAGTAGCGGTTGATGATGTTGAGCACGGCGTCGTCCTGGATCTGGCGCTTCTCCAGCTGGTCGATCCGGCCCCGGAGCTCCTGGTCGGCCCTGTGGTGTCGCTTCAGACGCTGCGGACGACGGCAACATGGACGGGTCAGTGGACTGAGACGCCATATGGTGACTTTTCCAGTACGGAGGTTAGTACTTTTTGAAGATTGAGTGAAGAAACAATCTTTGGTGGCATTTTAAGCATGCCATTTCAGAAAAATACATGATGGTAGCAAATAGCCTGAGACAGCTCACAGTTCATTTCATTCTTATTCATATCCATAATTCAACTACAGGCAAAAACAAAATGTTGCAAACAATTCAACCAAACAACAGAACAGAAGAGCTTAGGTGCTTTTTCTGCTGGATAACAAAAAAGTAAGAGCAGATTCATCAGTTACCTCGGCCAGCTTTTTGTTTTGGAAGTGCAGAGTCTTCATGTCGATTTCTTCCAGAGTGGAGACAGGTCCGATCTTGATCTGCTCGAACTGCACCTTCTTGGGGGGCGGTTCCCCGCCAACCCCCTCGTCGGCCCCTCTCTTGGCCATTGTCAGTGTTTAGGTGTGGGACCTATAACTTGTGATGGCTCTACCCACCTGAAAGGCACATAAGAAGTCATAGTTAACAGAAGGCCAAAATAAGTAACTAAACAGCTGTGAACAGGTGACATGATTTTGATATGATCTGTTGTTCAGTAAAAAAAACACACACACACACACACACACACACACACACACACACACACACACACATGCCAGTTGCTAACCAGATTTAGTTCCCTTGGCTTTCACTTCATGTTACCCTTCTTATGCATCAGATCATTAATCCATATATTTTCATGTTTCTACCACTTATTAGAGAGGTGATGTATGGTGATGATCTATTATTCAAATATATTAAAAATTCAAAAAGTGCCCAATATGTAATCAGACATAGACTTCCATCAGTGGTACAAGACATTCAATCCATTCAGTGTACCAGTTTATTGGAATTCACCAGCAGTAAAATGCAAATATGTTTGTAGATAAATCTACTATCTAGACTGTAAAAGAAAACATCTGAAGAAATAATTTCAAGGAAAAGAACACAAGGTTATTATCAAAGTCATAATCTAATTTTTCTGCCATATCTTGACCTCTCTGATAACTTGCATTTTTTAAGATATTCAATATTACCTGTCATACCAAGGGAGTCAATTTGAGCCTATGATTAGACTCTTATCCCCCTTTGTTCCCTTCTCAGAATATTGAGCATGAAGCCAGTTCTACAAACAGGAAAAAAATGATCTACTTAAGATCTTGTAGTCTTGAAATTTGAAAAGCACAGCACTTATGTGAACCACACAGGAAAAAAACTGCTGGTGTTAGGAGAATCATCAGCCATATAGGTAATAGCCAAGTAATAAAAAAAATAATCGGCCAGTATGCTATTTCCTTATATCAGGCCAGCATGAGTTTAGCACGGTTCATATGAATCTGCATGCTTCACACTCTACATAAGCAGGCAGCAACCAGCGCAAATATCAAAATGGGATCCCTATGTTGGTGCAGGTAAGAAACACAGTAGTGAGTAGGAGAATCTATGTTTAATTTTTATCAACCATCAAAGCATTTGTAGGTAGGTTTTCATATTATTTAGCATGGAAAAGTAGATTCCAGCCCTCTACCATTTGGGTAAAAGTATACAGTGAGTCCGAGTGACTGTAAAAAGATAAAGTTTTCATATTCTTACATTATTTGACATCCTGAATCCAAAAATGAATAAATGATACTTATGTGTCTTGGAAATAAAAGAAAAACATAATCAAACCTGACCTAACCTTACCTATTTACCTACAACCTACCAACCTACCTACAACCTAAAAACCTACAACGTAACAACCTAAAACCTACAAACCTACCAACCTAAAACCTAAAACCTACAAACCTACAACCTAACCTAACCTAAAACCTAAATTTTTTGATGTTACATATTTGTATCTACAGCGTAACAATTGTCCACTTGGACCTAATATATACTAATACCGAAATTTGTTTTGATCAAAGTCTTAGGCCTGGCTAGTGGCTACACTACCTATGCAGTTTCTGCGTGCATCTTTGTGTTGTGAGTTTGCGTATTTTGCGTAATATCGTTCCAGAAAAAAATCGATTTACATTTATATATAACTAATATAAACGTTATATTAATTATGACTTGTTCTAGAACGATATTACACAAAACACGTACACGCAAAAAACGCACACACGAAATGCATAGCCCAGCATGCAGGCCATGAAATGCCAGGCCGGTATTAGTATATATTAGGTCCGAGTGGACAATTGTGACGCTGTTGATACAAATATGTAACAGCAAAAAATTTAGGTTTTAGGTTAGGTTAGGTTGTAGGTTTGTAGGTTTTAGGTTTTAGGTTGTAGGTTTGTAGGTTAGGTTAGGTTAGGTTGTAGGTTTGTAGGTTGTAGGTTGGTAGGTTGTAGGTAAATAGGTAAGGTTAGGTCAGGTTTGATTATGTTTTTCTTTTATTTCCAGGACATATAAGTATCATTTTTGGATTCAGGATGTCAAATAACGTAAGAATATGAAAACTTTATCTTTTAACAGTCACTCGGACTTAATGTATACTTTTACCTGCCAGGCCTTTAACTTTCAACACTACCTAATTTTTCTTGAAAAATCAAAAAGGTAATGACCTTGCAGAAACCACTTATTATACTTATGAAAAGATCATTCTTCCAGTTCCTGTTAGCACCGTTTTGACCTTGTAGAAAAGGACGGGGAACTCCGCCTAACAAAGCGAATATTTGACGTTTCTTACAAAATATGAGGTGCTAGAGAGTGTTAAGCTGCGAAGAACATTATACATATTACATGGCACAACGAACTTGTGATAAAATATCACCGAAATAATTCCCAAAAGAAACCCAAACCGACCAATACCCGACGCAATACGAAACAGAAAGAGACAAATGCGAATAGCCAATTTCGCTCAAGGAACCCCAATAAGTGATTTTTGCTTAGATTGTAGAATTTTGATTACGTCATAAAACTAAATTTTTGATTTGAGCTGAGTCAAAATGACGTCATCACTGTGAAAGGAGTCGCTTTCGATTCGTCACGGATTCGTCAAAAACATCACGTCACAGGTTCATATTCGACCGAAACAGAGGCCGGCAATTCTTGCGAAATTGAGCTCTCTGCCTCTCTGCCTTTCGGCTTAAAAATTTCGCATGGTTTTCGGTAAAATCGTTCAATAATATATGTGCGCATAACCAATATTACTGGACAGTGTTGCACGTGAAACTGCGGATTTCGAAAGCCATGCTAAAGTTACAAAAGTTTTCAGGTAAGCATAACCTTGAACATAACTGGGCAATGGTGGCAAGGGATTCAGCAATGTTTTAGTTGGGTTGTTTGGATTGGTTTTTTAAATTAAAAATAATTTTTCATAACATCTGATTTTCTTTTTTTAATTTTGTTTGAAATACGTTCACCATGAATGAACTGTCAGGGTCAAACAGACCTCGTCACCTCACATTTCTTACGTTAAAAGTAAATAAATTGGCCGAGAGTCTGCTACGCAGGCGCAGCTGCATTATGAGATGTATGAAAAGTAGATTTTTTCCTGATTTTGTATTGAATGAATGTTTCTTTTGACAGTCATGACAGTGAATCACTGGGTATGGTAGAGGTCGTTTATGGGAAGAGTCCACAGCAGGTACAGGAATCAGTGAGGCTGAACTTGCACTTTGTAGCCCTTTTTGATAGAGATGATAAGACTCAAATTTGATTACAAAACAGGACAAGGTGACACAAGGGCAAAGTTTCAAGCTACAAAGATTCTTTGGCTCCCAACATTCACAGAATCATGAAAAATGATATGGAAAAAGATTCTGGCTGTAAGTTGTGACCTGAACATAAACCCAAATGTTAAATGATTGAGGAAAAGTAGGTGGGCAACTTTCTGAAAAAATGAATTGCTGAACTGAAAGTGATGAATGTCAGCCATATTGCTGCAGTTCATCTGTTTCAGATTTCTACAGCTTAAACAAGCAAGGTGAATTGGTAGTGATTGCACAATATGCTGTATGGTATGATGGGGTGTGAAGACCACATATACTATATTATATGTGGTCTACACAAATTTGTGAGGAGCTGATAAGTTCAACAGTGTTGTGTGTTTTGAATGGGTACCTACTTTATATACTCTAAGAAGGTGTGAATCTATGAATCTATTCTAACTAGGGTTTTACTACCTAAGGTATCTTTTACAAAATCTTGTGATATGTGTAATGTAATTGTGCTTGTTGTGTCTCTTAAAATCGAACTACAATCTATTGTGGTGCACTGCTTATCATATATGCTGCTTTTTAGAGCAGTACCTATGGTGCTTTCTTTATAGCTTAGATATTAACTTTACCTGTTCAAGCACCCAAAGTTGCATAGTACAGTACTGAGTGCGGCTCGTGACAGCTGTTTCCCGCCTGTTCCAGTGTCGTGACGGCCGGTCGGCGGGCAGACGCGATGTCCGGGGGCGCGGCCGGCGCCGGCAGGCCCGGCCCCTCCAAAGGCAGGCGCACGCGCAGCCGGGGAATGACCGGCGTGGCCAGCTCCTTCCAGAAACAGAGTGAAGACTTCCTCTGCCCGATCTGCTTCGACGTCATCGAGGAGGCGATGATGACACGCTGTGGGCACACGTTTTGTAACCGCTGCATCGTGCAGAGCATCCAGCTCAACGGCCGCTGTCCCAAGTGCAGCCGCGCACTGGACGAGGACAGCATCTACCCCAACTTCCTGCTCAGCGAGCTGGTGACCAAGCACCGGCGCGCGCGGCGCACCCCAGCCCAGCTGAGTCGACTGGAGCCGGCCGAGCTGAAGGAGTACCTGGTCAGCGAGACGGCCGAGCTCGGTCTGCCTAACGTCAACCTGATGCTCGAGCTGCTGCAGACGCGGCGGCGCGCGCTCGAGGCCGACTCGCAGCGCACGCAGAACGTGCTGCTGCGCGAGTTCCTGACCACGCTGCGCCGCCAGCGGGAGGAGATGCTGCAGCAGCTGCAGCGCGAGCTGCAGGTGATCGACACCGACCAGAAGCGCGTCGAGCAGGCGCTGGACGGCGAGCGGCGCGGCGCGGCCGGCGGCGGGGACGGCGCGGCCGCCGGAGACGCCGCCGGGGTGCCGTGCGTTCCCAGCATGGAGGCGGAGCGCGGCGCGCTGCCGACCGAGTCCGTCTCACCCGACGTGGCCGGTCCGGTGGCCGTCTCGGATGGCGAAGTGCCCGAGGGCTTTAACGTGGTGCGCGGCGCGGTGCCGCAGACTCCCGACTCGGACGCGCTGGCGCGGCGGCGACGCCAGGTACACAGTCACTTTGATGACCTGGTCAAGTGTTATTTCTCGCTGCGGCCGCGCGCGGTGCACCTCGGCGCGGGCGGGGAGGAGGGAGACGCCTGCCCGTTGGACTCATTCAGTGACGCCCTGTCACGGCTGACGCGATACAGCGGGATGCGGCCGCTGGCGTCTCTCAACTACTCGTCTGACCTGGTGGCCGGTGCCAGCATCGTCTCCAGCATCGAGTTCGACAAGGATAAGGAGATGTTCGCCATCGCCGGCGTCACCAAAAAGATCAAGATCTACGACTACGGGTTCGTGGTGCGGAACGCGATCGACATCCACTACCCGACGCTGGAGATGGCCTGCACGTCCAAGATCAGCTGCGTCGCGTGGAACGGCTACCACAAGTCGGTGCTGGCGAGCTCCGACTACGAGGGAGCCATCACCATCTGGGACACAGCCACCGGTCAGAAGCGGCACGTCTATCAGGAGCACGAGAAGCGCTGCTGGAGCGTCGACTTCAACCTGGTGGACACCAACCTCATCGCGTCTGGAAGCGACGACTTCACGGTCAAGCTGTGGGCGGCCAACGCCAGCCACTCGATCCTGTCGCTGGAGGCGAAGGTGAACGTCTGCTGCGTCAAGTTCAACCCCTCGAGTCGCTTCCAGCTGGCGTTTGGCTCCGCCGACCACAATGTGCACTACTACGACCTGCGCAACACCAAACAGCCGCTGCAGGTCTTCAAGGGGCATCAGAAAGCTGTGTCGTATGTGAAGTTTGTCAGCGATACCGACCTGGTATCGGCCTCAACTGACAGCCAGTTGAAACTGTGGAGCGTTACCTCGCCTACCTGTCTCCGCTCGTTCCACGGACATGTCAACGAAAAGAACTTTGTCGGCCTGGCCACGGACGGTACGTACGTGGCGTGTGGCTCCGAAAACAACTCCCTGTACGTGTACTACAAGGGTCTGAGTCAGAGTGTGCTGTCGTACAAATTCGAGCCGCCGCGCTCGCTGCTCGAGAAGGAGCGGGCTGACGACGGCAACCAGTTTGTGTCGGCTGTGTGCTGCAAGTCGGGCAGCAGTGTGCTGGTGGCGGCCAACAGTCAGGGCACCATCAAGGTGCTGGAGCTGTACTGAGGGGCGAGTCCCGCGCGGCAGCTGCGGGACCGGCAGCTGCGATATTGTGATCGACCGATCACTGTGTGTTTGTACCTCGGCGAATGAGTGCAAATGTGGTGGACGGGGCTGGGAAATGTTTTTAACAAATATATACGTATGTTTTTGCAGAAATTGTCATCTATTTTGATCGCTGTAGAGAGGTGGTATTTGAAACGCGCGTTGATGCTCAAGACTCAGAGTTGTGCACTGTGCAGCCAATCGTTGAAACTTGACTGAATAGTGACCGAACCTGGCTCGAGGTACACGTGTCTTCGCGCTGCACTGTGCAGTGATAGGTTATTTTCCAATATTGAACGCAAACATTGTTACTGGGAAATAAATGTCATATTTAAATGCATGGATCGACTAAACACTCCAAAACGTAAAATTGGCACGTGCAGGTGAACGTCCCAGGCAGTAATATCCATACATATCTCGACATTTTCATTATTTGAGATCGAGCCAAGTACAGCGTAAGCCTACTGCGATATGGTGATCACTCGCTCACTGTCCGTACCTCGACGACATTTTCTGTATCTGCCATACGGGTCTCTAAACAAAGCGTTTAAAATTGCATACTCTCGTCCACGATTGGCTTCACAGTTCACACTCTTGCGCCTACCGACTGACTGCGGCAAATTGCAATAGCATTGTCCCCTAGTTTTGTCCGTCTCTAATTTTCCTGGCACCCCACACGATTCTCGGTACCTGTCGCGGAGTGCTCGCCGTCCATCTATTGATCCCTGCCTCTAATTGGTGTGGCGTGAATCGGCCTCGTTCGGCGGGAAACAACACGGTGCTCACGTCAGCCGTCCCAGGCCCTGTGTTTGGACACGCCGGCCCTACCATTAGGTCACTGCTTTGATGGGATGAAGGACTTTCGCGACGTGTGGACATATTGCTGGTCATGTCAACGTCGAGGACGATGGTGTTTTTGCGTTACAAAGGTCTTTGTTTGTTTTGTTTTGTTGGGTTAGGCCCTTTCGGTCCAATAAGACCATTTCAGAGCCGGGAGGATAATGGGATATAGGGGGAGACATTAGTCTGGGCAGGCACCCTAGTGAGTCGCCGGGGCTGAGCCCGTCCAGAGGACAGGCCACCCAGCCCCAAGGCACTCACTGCACCCGGCTACGGGGTGCGCTCCCTCGGGAGCAGCGGTGCCGCTCCAAGGGAGCAGCCCGCATGAGATAAAGTTGCCTGTCCAGCCCGGAAGGGGGTTGCGGCGTGGAGGAGAAGGATTTCAGTATCCTGAGGATAGAAGCACGGAACGGTGACAAAGGTCAAAAGGAGTAGGAATAGAAAGCGCGAGTCTTCTGTCTTTCAAACCGCCTCATTTGCTATGCGGCACAGCATAACTTCAGGTGTTTGACTGCTAGTGCCATCTAGTGGCAGGAATACAAATAATGCGGTACAGCATAACTTCAGGCGTTTGACTGCTAGTGTCATCTAGTGGCAAGAATACAAACAATGCGGCACAGTATAACTTTAGGCGTTTGACTGCTAATGCCATCTAGTGGCAGGAAGACAAACAATGCGGCACAGTATAATTTCAGGCGCTCGTTGCTAATGCCATCTATTGATGGAATAGGAAGCATTGCGGCACAGTATATTTCAGGCGCTAGTCGCTAATTTTGTACTTTATTTGCATTTTGCCAAGTGATACAAAACATTTCCGGTACATATCCACAGTCCACACACGCACAAACAAACCCATACACACATGCCCGCTCGGACACGGTCAGGAGGCGTTCAACCGCCAATCCTCCATGCGGCAGTTACACACTGAAAGAAAAGTACACCCAAAATTGGAATAATTTTACGGTGCCTAAATCTCCAACCCTAAGTGATCATTCTACTCCCCCGTGTAAACTGCTTTAACATGGGCGATTAGCGACTATTTTTACCACCGGGTGTTGTCAAATAACTCCCATGAGCTTAAAAATACACCCACTCTGGAGTAAAAGTACGGTGCCTAAAAGTCCAACCCTAAGGAATTATTTTACACTCCCGGTGTAGGGGAGTACACTGAAAAAAAAGTACACCTGGGTTACATTTTTACCACCCGTCATGTAAGATATTTTTATCCGGTTTACACCAGTTTTAGGAGTACTTATACTCTTTTCCTGAAAAAGTGAGTGCAAAATTACACCTGGGTGCATTACTACTCCATTATATGGAATACAGAGGAAAGAGAAGTGTACTTTCACTCTTTCATACATTGTACGCTCTGTTTCACAGGGTGCATAAATACTCCACTTAGAGTTATTTTCAACGAAGCGTAATTTGACACCAATTGTCTAGTGTAATTCTACTCCATGATTGGTAAGCAGAGTATTTTTAGAACATATTCAGATGTAAAATTTCTATCTGAGACATAAAAATATACCGGGCGTCAGGAACGTCTGAAATAAAGCGTAAAAGCAAACCAGCATGGCGATGGGGTGGAGTGAAATTACTCTTTGAAAGTTGATTTTGCACCTATATTTGTAAATTTGCACTATAGGTAGCACGCATGCGCGCAGCACGGTTTCCGGTTGCCGCCATTTTCTGGTGTTTCAGTTTGCGGTTGGCAAGGCGGTTGGTTCTCACTGCGCAGTGTAAAACGGTGATTTTGCGAAGGGCAACAAGTCGAACTGCGAAGGTAAGTCAAAGTGTGGATATTGAGATTGAGATATGGTGTTAATTCAAATTAGTGTATTGCTATTTAGGGGAAATGATCCAGGAACGCAGCTAAGTGAGGTGTTCAATCAGGGCTTTGGCTTCTATTTTTAGGTTTGCAGGCTTCAGCTTCTGTTCAAAATTGTCATCTGTGACATCACAAATCAGTCTTTCCCTATTTACCAGGCCACATTTCTGTCTAGTACCTAAATTGATTTTTTAATCTATCACAATAATGCTTAAACCACGTTTTAGGCATTTTTCAACGAACAAGTCCATCTAAATGGGACAAAATTAATATAACATCCAAATTCCAAAATGGAGACTCACCACCAAATTGGGTAATATCGGCGCCAGGAGACTTGTCCCACCAACTTTTCATGCATTTTTATTTTCGAAACCGGTTCGCAAGACATGTCGAATGTGTTGTGCGGTCAATCTAACTTTTACAGTTTTCGAGTTACGGTTGCATTTATCCGGTAATGTCCGAAATAGTCAATTTTTGCCTGGGATTTCCTGTTAAGCGACTAATGGTCGAGGCAACTTCATGAGTTGTGTTTATATATCACCGAGAGTATGGTTGTTCTGTATTAGCAAATACAAAAAGTAAAAGAAGACATGCTAATTTAGCATGTCTTCTTTTACTTTTTGGCCTTCAAGCGTGGTATTCTCAATATCACAGTGCGATTTTCTTATCGTTGTATGTGTTTTTAAAGCCAAACCAAACGAGTTATGAATGTACGGGCTGCAGGCAGGATCGTAGTTAGCAGGTGCCAAGTCCAACCTCCTGTTCCCCTCTTTTCAGCTATGGGAGGAACTGGCCCGGATAAGGGGCGTCAAGAAGACGAGGCGCTGAAGAAGGAGGTAACTGAAGAGACGCGTCGGCTCTGCCAGGAGTTTGCCAGTCGACTGCTTCTAGGTCTTGATTCCAGACCGAACAGTGGTAAGTGTATAATCATTCCGTTATAGGAGCGTTCCAGGACAGATCACCAAGGCATGTACAAGTCTCGCGGGTTTTAGCGGTAGGTTTTGCACCTAGAAAATTTAGTGTACTTCAGGCTATATCTTCGTCGTCTTAAGCTTTTAAGTGTTGAAGATGCGATCGACTTGTTGGGTAACAAGCCGGCCATGATCGTGTAAAATGGCTTCATCGTAGATCGATTAGTTTCTGAGATATAACCGGAAATGTAAAAGTGCAAAACCTACCGCTTAATCTCGCGAGACCTGTACATTAGGGTGGGGCGAAAAACACTTTTTGGAAAGTGCTAAGTACATCTAGTGAAAAACTTGGGCCATAGTTTCAAATGAACACATGCAAAATCTTAGCCGATCGGTCAAGCATAGACATGAGCGTATTTGCGATGGATGAAGATCTGCAAACGCTTTCAGGCGTTGCAGTCTCTAATGCTAAGGAGCCGTTGCGATTGGTGTGTAACACCGGAATAAAAGCGATTCGCGAGAAAAGACGAGATCAGTGGACTAATGATGGCGTATTTCATCAATACTGAATCCCACGGGCCGACCCAGGGTCCCTTTATCATCAACATGGATCCGGATCCTGGATCTACCGGATCCCTGGATACATGATCCGGATGTCTACATATATGATTATATTATGTTTTCAAAGTCAATGCATAGGCTAATTGTTCATCCGTGTATGCCGAATCCTGGATCCAGTGGATGCCGAAACCTGGATTCAGAGGATCCCAGGATCCAGAATCCAGGTAGCTACATTCGTTCATTTGCTGTGTCATCAGTGATAATGCAGATTGAAATTTGCCTGCAAGTACGAATTCTCGCAGAACAGGTTGGCCAAACGTTTGCCCTCGATACTGAGAGCAGCTTCATTCGCCAATATCAGCGGATCCTCCAGCCTCTCGAATTGGGCGGGGATTTGCTGTCAGCTGCTGGTTGTCCTCATGCCGCTTTGCGCCGATATGACCAACAGCGCGGTGATGCCTTTCGGCTTCCGGTAGCACAAACGACACGGTTCAGCTGTTCAGCTGCCTTCGATACACCGGCTTGAAATACGTTTTCAGTCTGAGGCTGACTGGATTCCGCTTGTGTCTAGTCCTTGAACAGGTTGTTTTCTTCGTGCCACTTTAACACTACCGTCAGGGTGAGCCCTGAGCCGTGATGTAGCTGGACACAATTGTAGTCATCAGAACTGACTGTATAGCTTCAGCGGCTCGATTCTCTCCGTTTCTCTTCATTATGAGCCATTCAGATGGTCCATGTCAGATAATATGTGGACGGCACCGGCTTTAGCACACTTTACCTTCTCCCTTGAGACTCGAATGGAGTAGACCGTGCAAGGCGTTAGGCGAAGTCGGTTCTGCCGCCGCGTGAGCCTCGGGATGCGAGTGCAGACTTTCGTACTGATGATGATTATCGGCAAGCCCGTGTCCACTGCATCAAGCATCACAGATAATTCATCGGCGTTCGCTGTCACGGTGACCTACCAGGCACCGTCA